CCATGTTTTTAGTAGTTTTATGTATGTAGATGTACTGACAGGGTTTTATTTGTTCTGTAGCTGCGCACCGAAGCACTCAGCAATGTTCGTGGAGTTTGTACGCGGAGGACGAGTACGACGCGCTTGCTTCATCAGGAACTCCGTCACGCGAGTACAGACAACCCCCAGTCGGACGGCAACCGCCAAGAAGCGTGGCGACCGCAGCCCATCATCTCCCGAAACAACTGCCAGCAAGAAGGCAAAACCAAACGATGATCCAATGGGCGTTTTGTTAACAATGGTTGGGTTGTTGGTATCAGCTTGCAAGGCTGAAGCACTTATCGTAAGCCAGAGCACGAAGCAGCTGCAAGGACGCGGGCTGAGCACCACAAAATACCCGATGGTATACGAAAATGCATTACTGAGATTGAATGCGAAATGGGCTTCATCGCTAGCCCTATCAAAGAGCGATTACAGGGGGATCTGGAATTCTTTCTCGAAGAACGGAAGTGGATCATGGACCGCTTGCGTTCTCAAGACATTTAGCGTCGAGTCTCGAATGACAGATCAAGCTCTTCAAGCTGGTTGAGCGAGTTGCAAAGCCTAATGGTCAATAAATGCTCAGCAACTAGCGCATCATATAGACCAATTTCTTCGTAGTGATTCTAGACCCCGAACACGTTGCCGACCACCACCGGCAGGAGCGCTTGGTGGAGGAGCAGCAGACGATGTTGGCAGTGGATTGGGGGTCGAGGCTATGGAGCTTGTGTTGGGCACTGGCGTCGCTCTTACAGGGCTGGCGCTGGGCATTGCCACAGAGGCTGCAGGTGCCTCTCCAGCCCCGCTGACGCGGTCTCCGTACAGCTGTCGTATTTGGTTGCGTTCGCGCGCTTGCATTTACTCCACCGTCGTTTAACACTTCTTCCGGTGCAGGCGGTGTTCCATGCCCAGTGTATTGCGAAGATCGTCGTCCATGAGATGCAGCAGTAACGCTCTATCGACAGTCGCGTTTGTACTGCCGAGTTTTCGGGCCACCGCTGCTGCAAGCCTGCAGCAGCACTGTCCAGCGTCAAATGGTGAGCTCCGATCTTCCGCACGGCGCGCACTTTGCTAAAGTAGGTCATCGACATGGACATGAAGCCGAAATTCATCATTGTCGCTGTTGACGCCATGAGGTAAGCCACTTCCTGATGTTGTTGCTACGTAAAACCTGGTGGAGCGGCAGGTGCTCCACTTGCGTGTGACGGATAGACATTGGGGTCAATGTAATAGGTCCACCAACTACAGGACTACTTGAAGTTTCAAGTCAACTCCACCTTCTACGTTGTCGAAGTTGCTGCTCACCCTTCGCCTTTGTCAATGCCAACGTGTGGCCGCGTGTACTTCCTCATGTTTCGTCTGATTGATGACGTTGGTCGTTGAGAAGTCCTTGACCGAAGAGCAGATTGGAGTGTGTGCCTAAGAGACTCGCTGTTTATGGATTTCCCGATACACCCATCCATTCCACTGGCTTTGTAAGCGGCAGGCCGGCTGGTATCGTCTGTGAATCCACAGAGGATTGTTGTGGTGGTGACCATGATGTTTGCTTTCACTCTGCGCTTAAGTTTCGACTGCCGTAGCAGCCAAGAGAACTCTAATCCAGTCATGTCACCCAGTACCAACTCCCTCTCGATGAAGATCACGTCGTAGTCGAAGTCCTGGGCTCCACGCAGCGCCTGTGGACTGTTCGTCATGCTGTCAATCTTAAGTTCAGGCGACGTCAAGCTCGGATCATCCGATGCAATTCGTTCAATAGCGCAGCGTCCGAGGAAACGAGCAAGATCGTTGTTGAACCCGTCAAGTTGTGTTTCAAAGTGGCTCCTTCTCGAAAACGTTGCCCTGGTTCCAGTGTAGACGCCTCGATACGTTTGGCCAACCTGCGCAAGTAGATGGCCATACCCACGAACGTATCGCTACTGCGAAGAAGCTGCTTTGCTCAAACAGTTGGCTTGTCAAGATCTGGCCGTTCGACGTCGCGGCTTTT